ATCCCCAACTCTCTTACTGCATGAAGGACCTTCTCAGACTATGCATCATGTCTGTGGCCTCTTATTTCAGACATAGAGTCCACATTCTGCATTCCCAGCAAAATTGTCAAAAAATCAGTCCAACACATTTGGTTTCAGTACTAGTTCTAGTACATTTTAACAAGACCTTCTAGAATTTTTTCCATTGAAGGATTTCCAGGTACTTTTGAAGCATTCATGAATTAAGGCTCACAACACCTCTATGAAGTACTGCAAATATTATTATTAATCATTCATATTTTAAAGATGAGAAGTCTAGAGAAGTTGTGAGCCTTGGGTGTGAAATGGAAGCCAGCTTGGAGATGGCCAAGATTTAATTCCACATCTTCTCTATTCTTGTATCTCAACCAAACAACCATTCAGATAATTTCCAATTTTTCCATGTGTACTCGGTGCCATACCTGTACCATGTAATGCGGTATGTTACATTCAGTTTTGATCAAGGGGTGGCATGGATGGAATGAACTGATCAGTGGTCCCATTCCAGTCCCAAATCCAACTTGACTGAACATGTAAGTAATAGCACTACTCAATCAGTCTGCAAAGGCATTCTTATGCCTTCCTAATGATGCACAATGACTCAACTGATCAGGCATCCTCATGGCACTGGGGGTCACCTTGTTGACTGGTGGTCTCCTCTACCTTAATGACACCTCCCCAAACTGGAGTTTTTTCTTTAGACTTTTATATCCTACTACAGCCCTCTTCTGTATATTCCACATATGGTCCTGCTAGAAATCCTCACCAGTTACCTTTCACAGCATCAATCTGTCACCTCCAACCTGTTTCTTTCTGAACTTACTTCTGCCCTACTAAGTTATCCTTGGATTTGTTTTGCAAATGGAGCCAATCTGGTCTTGGTATACTTCTTTATTCTGTCTTGTTTTCCAACAGTCTACAACAACCAACATTGTTTTGCCTGCCACAGTCATTTACTTTAACTTTGTGCCTAAGCTGGCTCTGTGCATATTTTGCTTGCGGTTTTACTCATGGAGAGCAAAAAGAGATGACATCAGCCATTCCAAGGCTTTCAGGCATATAAATTATCAACAGTCCAGGTATAAGATGAGACTCTATTCTTCTTAACACCAAGTGGGGTGCATTCACCTGTGGAGGGATGATGTGTGGCAATTGCCCGTTGCCAGTTATGCCAAGTCAGCTTCTCAGGCCTACAGAATACTTGTGAATTTTGGCGCAGAATATTTCATCATTTTGTTTAATTCACATTAAAACAGATGTTTTGTGTTTTGCAGCTAGCTTATCCTGGGCCTTAGGCCTCACATGCAGTGCTAAGTGTATCTTGGAAAGCCAAGTAGTTGGGCTAGAATTCTTCAATTAAAAAAAGGACTTTTAAAAGAAGGCACATTTGTTACCTCATTCTCCATAATGACCCAAACTGTGCTCCCCTTATTCATGCCAAACCACAACTGATTACTATGGAGAAGTGGAGCTGAATTTTCCCCCAAATGCCAAGCTTATATCTTTCTTAAATTGGGTTGAATTTAGTCCTACTTGCAGGACTTTAAAGGGAATTTGGCAAAGTTTTCTTCACAGAAGTTGCTTTCTGGTGCATGTGTCCATATACAGATCTGATTTACACTGGCAAAATCCAGTCTTTCTGTCACCTGAATAAACCCATCTCCCCAAAACATGCAGGTCTTCAGCCAACATACGGCCTCCAACACAATGCCAGTGAGAATGCGCTCCAGCAACATAACAATCTTGGCAACCATAAGCCCTCAGCTCATATACAAGGTGCTCATTGTCTTCTGTTGATACAACCCCTTGCAATGAGGACATGTGGCACCAGCAGCAACATCCAAGCGTGTATGTGTTCCAGCAACACGGTGATGCTTGCCTTTATTCAGAAAGGCGAGAACCAGGAAACAAAAACAGAAATCCCAGCGAGATTTTTCCTTTTGACCTAGCTAGACTGGCATTGGCATGACCATCAAACCTTGTGTATTTATTTGACTAAGTGTCGTTGGATGTTGATATTTGCTATCAATAGTGCAGAAAACTTATGTCCTTTCCCCCTCATTTTACCTTTTCCGTCAATGTAATTGCGTTAGAAGCAAAAGCTTTTAATGCTTTTGTTTTGTTTTTAAGAATTCCAGCATCTTGCACTAAAGGCATTCCACTAAATACATATGTACTATTGTGCTCAATTGCCCATCACAAATCTGTAATGTGTGTTAATATGGTGAGAGCTTGTAGCTCTGACTACTTAAACCAAAGTAGAACAGCTGCAGCACTTTAACTCTGCAGGAGAGCAAAGGAACCCTCTAGTTGTTAGAAATACGTTCTCGTCTATGTGGAAAATGTCAGGGGTAATTGAGTTGGAACTTAAAAATAACTTAGCTTTTTCCCTTTTTTTCTTTCTTTTTTTTTTCCCTTAAGTAATGCCATTTTAGGGAATTCCCTGGGCATTTACCAAGAATGGGGAAAGCGATCTGGATAATGAAATGCACAAACAGAGTTTGAAAATGAAAACACAAATGCTTCAGTTAAGTAGTGAGGGAGGGAAGAAGCAGGAATCGGGGGGGTCTTCTGGAGGAAGCCAATGGGGACCTTGGGATGAAATGGAAGTGTGCCTAAGATCAATATAAAATTGTTTAGCTGTGTGCAGAGGCAATCTTGCTGGTCTGTTGGGTGTGACCCAAAGTCCAGGTCTGGACAGTGTCGGCCGTGTGCTAGAGGAAGTCCCTTTGGTGCCTCCAGAGATCGCTTATTAGCATACTTCCACAAAACTGAAGGGGAGCTGGAGGTGATTTCCCTCCCTCTGACAGTCGTAGGCCATGTGTAGATGAAACAAGGGGCGTGTGTGCAAATCACTTTAAAGCAGGCTAAACGTGTTTACACCACTTTAATGGTGTTGGTGTTTGCACACCTTGGTGGTGTATGGCACATAAATTCCACTCACTGTAGCAAATTCGGCAGCATAATGCGCCTTAAATGATTTGGGGTGGAGCAAACTAAAACTTCTCTAAGGAGCTTGCTGCCTCTGCAGCCGCCGAGCGAAGCACCGGGCTCTGTACAGTGCAGGGGCTCTGCAGGAAGCCCTGCAGGCAGCCTCTCAGCAGCCTGGGAAGGCAGCTCCACCCAAGAGAGGGGGAAAAAAAAGCGGTGAGCCTGAACTCCCCAACACCCTTCCCCAGGGCCTGCCTGAACTGCACGGGGGCCTGGTGCTTCCCTCTGTAGCTGCGGTGCCCCCCCAGAACCGCCCGAGCTGGGTGCCTGTGGGCAGGTGCCACCTGGGGGGGGCCCACCACTGCCATGGAGGGAAACACCAGCCCCACTGCAACCCAGGGACCGCTCTGCCAGCCAGCAGCTCGCCCTCCCCCCTCCACCGCCACAGAGGCAGGTAAGTGGGTGTGTACATGACACGAGGGTTTAAAGGGCCCTAAGTTGAAACGGTGTTTTTAAAAACCCACCGCTTCAATTTAGGGCCCCCGTTTCATCTATGCACGCCAATACACCCCCTCACTGGAGAGGGCTAATTCATCCTTTCCAGACATGGCTTATTCCTGAGCCTCATAAGCCTGCTTTGGAAGAACCCTTTCGAATGGTGTCTTGACTCCACCAATGTATTTTAAAAAGGCATCTCTTTAGAGGATGCTCCTAAGACCTGCACACACACGCACGCACGCAGGACACGCACAGTTTGTTACAGCAAAAAAGGGTAAACGCTTTCTGGTAAAGTTCAGTATAATATAGATGTCTTGCCTGTTTCCTTGACTGGAATTATGGCAAGGCATTTTGTATGTAAATCAGAAAACAAATTAATAGGTCACCCCTCCTTGCTGCATTTGCACCTCACCCCTGGGACAAATGGTCTATCAAAGACAATTTTTGGTTTTTTTAGGAGTCTCTTGTTAAACCATTGGCCGCTCAGCCATTCATAGTCTCGGAAGATCCTTTTCAGATGAGCAGGGGTTTTAATCCTTGCATCTTGGCCCCATGCCAGCTTTGGTAATTACTTTCTGTTGACAATCCCTAAAACCCCCCTGTGTTTTCATTAGGGCCTCTACCATCCATTTCTTCAAGTCCTCCACTATTTTGTGGCATGGCTGTGCACCATCAAACAGTGGTGGGATTTCAGCCAGATGTGACCATATTTACATGCTGTATGAAGTAAGTCTTGTGTTTCTAGTGAAGTTTTTTGTTTCCTTTGTGAGGCAGGGTGCTGTATACATGTACAATGGTTTTATTATTATGACTGCCCTTCTGCTTCTGCATTTTTGCATCAGGCTGACATTTGACTGAATTCATCTAATGAGGTTTTTAAGCCTTTAGATTTACATTTCTAAAAAAGTGTGTTGGGGGGGAGGTTTCTTCTACATAATACTATATTCACCATTATCTATTAGTTTCAGCTCAGAAGTGGTTACATAGCTTCCAGCGTAACTATAATCACTAAATAGCTTTTAAAATTGTATTTAACCTTTTCTTTTTTTCTTTTACTGGGTGTATTTTACGCTATCCCAAACTTCCAGCTGAGATAACCCGTATAAGTTGCAGTAATATCCCTCTCCTATCTACCTTGTTGTCTTATGGTATAGATGGAATTTATCAAGTCCAATAAAACAGCAGCTTCTGAAAAGGCAAGTGATAAGGGTAGATGCTGTACTCGATATAGGACCTGATTCTGTTAACTGTGGTATAATGAAGAGCCATGCACAATGTGACTCTAACACAGTGTGAGCTCTCCATCTTTAATAATCAGGTTATACACCTTAAATGACAAAACCTTTAACCATTAAGCCTTCCGTATGCACCCCAATTCTATATGTAGCTTGCTAACAACAACAGCCTACACTGCACCATGTAGAGACATATATTTAAATGGTGTGGGGGCATGAATTCCTACTAGTTGCATATCCTTTATTTTGAATTAACGAGCAGGCAAAGCACTTCACTTTCATTTCTAACTCTCCTATTTTCAATTTTGTCTTTAATAGCTCTTGATCCATCCAAAGATCCATGTCTGAAGGTGAAGTGCAGCCCACATAAAGTGTGCGTCACTCACGACTACGAAACTGCTATTTGTGTAAGCCGCAAGCAGCTGGTACACAGGTAAGGGCGTGCTGCCAGTTGCATTCCATTAAGTCTCTGCAGTTTCATGAGCTACAATAAAATGAGGACAACCAACCCTAATGAACTTGAAACTTAACATTTAAAAAAAGTCTCCGGACATGTTTTTCATACTTAAATGGCATTTCCTTCCATGGCCAAAAAATATCTATTGCTATTTATAATCATCAAGGCCAGCGAGGGTTTGGAATTAGTCCAGAAAGATCAGCTGGAACATGGGGCCCCCTAAGGAGAAGTGCACTGTACAACATCCATCCTACCAACCCTGCGAAGGGGTTGTTCAGACAACAGTAACTATGGCACTCCGTGAAATATGAAGATAGTCTCAATGCACTTCCATGATAAAATACGTTACCTTATTTACTGGCATAAACCTTTTTTCCAAAAGTTAAGCATCCTAAATTGGGCTGTATGTTTTAAGTGAGGAAGCTGATTTCCATGCTGGAATGGAGGAATGGGAACGTTGCCGTGGCTGCTGGAGGCTATGCCGCCTTACTAAGCGGAGGGATGCAATTGGGTTCTGAGTATCATTCCCCCTTTTCTTCCAGCTCTGAATCTCAGGCTTTAACGCTGTCACACCTGCTGCTGAAAACTGCTGCTAGTTCAGCAGCAGCTGTGGCAGCATTAAAGCCTGAGCTTTGGAGGTAGAAGAACAGCACAAGTGATATATGCACCTGGTGCCTTCAGCTCAGGTGACTGAATCTCTCCAGCTCCCCTGGAAAACATCACCCAAAAGAACCATTTGGAAATGAAAGATTGAAACTGAAAGATGTTCAGAAAAACCAAATGGAGTCAACAAAGTCTTAAGCATCAGGGAAAGGACTTCAAAAATCAATGTGAACTTACTGGAAACTTTAAAGTAGGACAAACATGTGACACTGTTGGAGTCCTTGGGAGGCTGCTGACGGCCCCAGTCTGATCCTGCTGCCTCTGAGCTGAGAGATTTCCATGTAAAACTCACTTGTCATAATCAAAACTTCATTCCTGAGGATTTTTCCTACAGAGAAATGGGATTAAACTGGCATGGTGAGAAAGCATAAACCGATGATGGGTGTCCCTGAATTAATCTGGAGCAGCACCATGTCTAAGCTTTTAATAAGCAACTTAACTCACCCAAGTAATCCTTTTGAAATCAATAGAGCTACTCACATGTACATTCACACAAATAGGTCCTGAACTTCTGGGATCAATTTTGCAATCATTAACTTTCATAGGTTAGAAAAAAAAAATCCTTCTTTGAGGGGAGAGCCTCATCCAGTTGAATTCAGGTGACAGCTCGTGACTTGGATCACATTTTTTTTCTGAAATATATTCTGCCATATGGCAGAAAGTTATTTTTTTTAAAGCATTTTTACACTACAGCTTTCAGCATAAAATGAACTAGAGAGTGATGTTGAGTGTATGGTTACATGAAGTACTTAATAGTACCATGATGCTTTGCAGGTTATGTAGTTTCTCTTTCCCATTCAGAAAGAACTGATCTATCATAACGTGTATAAATGTTGCGCGTACTAAGGCAAATACTCTTGGGACTGTTTCCACATCCAGTATATTAAAAGCAATCAAACTACTTGACCAAAGTAGAGCAGAAGTAATGGCAGCTAATGCAGTCTCTCTAGGACTCTTGCACTGCCTGCAGCTGTTTCACGTAGACTTTGGGCAACACCATGACAGAAAAAAAGAAAAACTTACTTTGAAAAGTCTCCAGCCATTTTCCAGCCAGCTTTGGAGTGCTTTGAAAATTACTCTTCATGCAAGATACTAGTGCATATCTCTCCAAAGGACTTTTACTCTCAAAGTCTCTAGCTAGCTAATTGCCTCAGAGGGTGGATATACCAATACAGAAAGTTGCCAGCCCAAATTCTCTGTCAACTAGAATTGATGGTGTTGTTTCAATAGAGAATTTGGTGCTCATTTTGCAAGGATGTGTTCGTTCTTCAGTGCCCGGCCTGAATCCTGTTTGTCTGACTCCACTCTCAGTTATATCAGGAGTAACCCCACTGCACTCTATCAAGTTACACTGGTCTTTCCTTGGGGTAACCAAGATCAGAGCCAGGTCCTGCAGATCTGTATATGTAAAGTCAGAAGCATCAAATAACACAGCACCGCAGTGATTGCATTGCACACCCCTTTGTGTGTGTTTGCATGCACTCAAAAGGATTTTCCGTTTCGTGCATCATTATCAACTTGCTGCAGCGGCTTTACAAAGCATGTAAGCTCAGCAAAAAGAAAACATTCAAACAACAGAGCAACATCAAATGTCGCTGCTGAGGCTCCCAAATAGACCTACACTGATTTGCAGCAGCTGATTAACTGGCCTGTTGAGTAGTTACGGCCCAATGAAAGCATGCGTATTCCATGAATAATGTAGCCAATTTTCAAACCACCAACAGCAGCACAAGACGTGGCTGTTTTATTTTCTTTGTGCTGAGGTGCGCACTTTGTAAGCTGGGGCAGGAACATGACAATAGCAGAT